AGGCCACTTCAAAGAGACAATTTCGTGCCCAACTTAAACGGGACCTTTAAAATATTATTTCTGGCTTTTATTCAAGGCACACGTCTTCGTTCCAGAAATTTATGTGATGGAGACGTTTCAAACCTTTTTGAGGGTCTTCAGAATCAACAGATAAGTCGGTATTTTTTCAAAGGGTATTCTTTTCTTTTTCAAAGGATCTATCTAAGCAAGCAAAATCTGCCATCAGACGGTTATTCTTTATGTCAAGTTAAGACTTCATCAGATTCTACCATTAGACCAAGGGAATGTCAAAGTTTCAAATTTTTGACATCTTTTTAGTGCATTTCCATCATCGGATATCGCTAAAAGCGCTCAGTATGAATCCATCCAGCTAAAAATGGCATCTAAAAATCAAGGCCTTGAAAACGGATTCAAGTTTACCATCTTGCAACGATTTCCTTAGGCTTGATAACATCAATTAATAATCCTGATCTCTCTACTATATGAAGATAGGCAAAGTTTTTCCGATAAGCTTTGTGTCTCGCTACTAACTCTTATTGGAGCTTGCATTGGTATGAACTTGAATAAAGACCTTCAATTGGTAACGTTCTTAAGACGTCCACTAACATCGGGGCATATAAAGCCGGCGAATTTGTGAATTTTGTCAATACGGCCCTAAAGGTACGCGATTTTCTTAGCTTTCCTCAAACTTGATATAAATGGGATATCGCAAGATTTGCATTCCGTGTAAGACTTAAGGCTGCACAAATAAAAGTATGAAGGAGAAATTTTTGAGCGAATGCCACGACAAGTAGGTTTTCTTCTTTACTTGTGGCCGAATAGTATTTGTTTGATAAAAATCTTAAGATTACCTGTAGACTGTGCAAATTCAGATAAACTTGAAGCCAATCCTCCATAGCTAGGCTGGGTGAGACTATATGATTTATATGACTCAACTAATGAGCCACTTTTACATCTGGAAGGCTTTTCGGCAAAATAAATACATACATTTGAGGTCTCTAAGCCCTTTTCATGGGTATTTTTCAGATTGAAGAACGTTTTACTTTCCGAAAGCAATTTCTATTTTATCCAAGCGACAAATAGTGCTGGATGATAGCCGGGAAATAAATCCAACATTGGGCAACTCATCTTTGAACGGCAAATGTGAAAGAAAGACAAGCCCTAGATTTCTCAACCTCAGAGAGCTACCTTGTAACGCCAATTTTCAACTGAAACTTCGCATCAGACCTAATGCGCTCTCCAACAACAGCTGACCGTAAATTAAATTTTTATTAATGGCCAACAAAATAGCCTACGAATCATTGATTCCGGCTCTTTCTGCTATCACATCTTCGTATGAAAAAAACATAGGAACCTCTAACCAGGAAAACACAACCCTTGTTCTTGTGGCTAACCTTATGGAAAAACTGAGCCAACTGGCTTTTCAGACAGCCAACCTATCTGTGCAGGAAAAACGGGCCTCGCTTACCAAGGAGGAGCTCCTGGAGCAGCTAAAATCTAAAGAAGCTCAGCTTTCAAATCAAAAGTAAGCATTAACAGCATTAAGGCTAGGGATTTATTAAATAAGTATCTCAACGAGTTGCCCGTTTTTAAGGATGCGCCGGTGAATCCCTAGGCTCTATTATAAATATCTGTTAATGTCTTCCAATAAATCATCCATGCAAATGTATTCCGGCATTTTATATTGGTCGCCGCAAATTCCATTTAACGGAGTTTCGTGGTCATTGGTATCATCTTCATCATCTGAATATTCGGTCAAAATCTAACGATCAAATTTGTTCGAGACGCGGTACCTTGTTGAACTCGTCCTCGTTTACAGAAGACGACGGGAATGGCTCTAAATCCTCAAGATTGGAGGCTAGAGGGTCATCATCGTGCTCCTTTGTTGCTCTTAAAAGCTGGGAAAGAACAACCTCACAATTTGCGGTCTGTGCAGGTCTATGATCGTTTTTGTCGACGCTATCAAAACAATCGAGTTCTCGAAGAATCTCAATGACGTCTTGATTCGATTTTTGCTCAACATCCTCTTCTTTTAGCTAGAAATTAAAAACCGGCTCTCTTTACCTTAAGCAGGTAATTCGGATTGTCAAAAAATCCTGCATCTGGTACAATCGGCATCATATGCTGCAGATAATCATACTCATCAGCATCATTGAATTCTATGCCATATCTTCTGGCTTCTTTGAGACAACATGAAGGGTCTGTTTGGCCATCCTCGGGCTCGGATGGATAGTCAATCAAATTTACCCTGGCAAGCTCATCGGTTATCGAATCCGATGTTGAGACTTTGCGATGCTAATGTGTTAAAAATGGCCAACCCACTTGTGTAATGTCTTTGAAGGCTATTTTTTGTTGAGAATTTGAGGGATGGACGATTTTAAACACCCGGCATTTTTTCTTATCGATGAATTTCTTGCCCATTTTTATTAAAAAATTTAATTTAAATGCTAAATGGCCTTCGGCTCCTTTCGCAATTAGATTCCCAACTGCGCTCCATTAACTCGGTCAAGCAACGTGTGGCGCTCGTGCTTTGGCCAAATACATTCATCAACGTTTTGGTAGCCTCGCCCTCATATGACTCTACTATTTTTGCCACGTCCTGCCTGCTCAGGCTGATTGATTTCTTCAAGGATGGCAACAATCAATTGCGATCGCATATTGTTGACTGTATTTCCTCAATAATGACTTTGATGGAAAAGAAAAAGTATCCCGTTCAAGTTTTTGCAGATATCACCGATGATGTGTTGAAAAAGATTCTTCCTATTTATTCTTCTAATGATCCAATAACCAAATGTCTCTGTCTTAATTTAATCAAAGAGCTGGCAACGTTGTTGGCAAATAATCCCCTGGTACAATATTTGTAAGTATAAGGCTAGTTACAAGTAGAATTTTGAATGGCCTTATTTGGGAAAAGGCAAAAATGATGTGCGAGTGGGATTCGCTATTTGACTTGGCCTTTCATGTTTCTTGGTATTCCATACCAGATTTCCATGGTAGAATATTCGAGGCTTGTCTTTTTATTTTGGAGCGCGTTGATGAATATAATGTATCTGTCAGAATATCCGCATTTGACCTCTGTACCAATTCGAGCCTTGCTTTGAGTGACGAGCTAAAATGCGTACAGCAAGAAATCCCAAATTTATTTAAAATAAAATAGAAGCTATCATTCCTTTAGTTGCGAGCTATCCATTTGCCGCGTCCTTGGCCATTTATCTTGGCAAGGCGCTAATGGTTTATTTTGCTAGCCAGTCAAACATTGCCTTGAGGCAGGATCAACAAGCAATTTGCTTCCAACTTTAGTGCCGGGAGGGCAGAGTATTTTTTCCCCGGAGGCAAGCGTCGCAATCAAGCTAAAGTTAAGCGGTACGCGCATTTTACCCTTGCGATACTTCCTCAAGACCCGAAACTGTACATACAAGACTTTTCAACGTCACGAAAACCGGGGTGCCAGTTTCCTCGTTGATTTTGACACGAATGGGAAATCCGCCTAAAGGTCCAGTTTCAACGTTTCTTACCCTCCAAGAAGGGAATGGCCTTTTTATCAACCAAAGAGTCGCTGATTTCGATGCTTTCAAAAGTCTCCGGATGCGAGCATATCAACCTTTCTCCCTCTGAATACATGTATAAATATGTATGGTCCTGGAGGTCCATTTCTATCGTTAAAATGAGATTGGGATACTGTCAAACATTGAGTTAGGAGAGGGCTTTAGGTTTGATATATTCCCGGTGGCTGGACATTTGAGTGTCAACGAAAAGGATCGAGCTCCTCTACCGGAGCAAGATGAGGAGACTTGGCTGACAACCGAAACTCTATCTTCATGAAGAATCCAATCGTTTTTTCTTAAATCTGAAATTGATATTCTCAGATATCGCTAATGTCAATAATTCGCGATACCTTTATGGGCCCATTAAAAATGGAATTCCGTCTAAATACAACCGAAGGGAGCATCATATCAAACGTGCACAAGAATTCAATGCAAAGAGACAAAGAACGTTTAATTTAAATTTAATTAACAAGGCCCTTTAATGCCTAACGGCGACATTTCAAAATTATTCTGTCGTGTGCTGTGATTGGACGTTCTAGATAGGTGTCTTTTCTTACTGGTCGTAATTAACTTTGTTAAAACGTACCTTGCTAAAACGTACCTGGTTAAAAGCATACCTAGTTAAAAGCGTATCTGGTTAAAAGCGTATCACTTACCAGGCGGGCTATGAAAGCGCCAAGTTTAATCGCTTACGCGGTTAACATTTACGGATTAAGGTTAGACCCCATCTGTATGTGTGGGTATGCATGTATATGCTTTGAAAAAGATGATGCCGTTATAATACAATTTTAAATTCGCCTATTCAGATTATGCTAGCCCAATTTGGACCACATTCAATCGATCCTTCCCATGTTTTTTTAAAAGCCATTTTGTACTTGGGCTAGTAAATATTAAACCAATAGTCCCTGGTCGTAAGTGCAATACCATATATTAATTAAGATGTCCTTGTCATCAGTCGACGGATTGTAAAGCGAGTAGCTGATTTGACAAACGAAGAGGCGGCGGATCTTTTTTGCTCATCAAGACTGATAGGCAAAGTGCTTGAGCAGAAATACAATGCCTTGTCTTTGACGTTTTCCGTACAAGATGGCGAATTTGCTGGCCAAACTGTGCCACATGTTCATATGCATATAATCCCGAGATATCCAAACGACTTTCAACCCAACGACTTAATTTACAACATCATTGAGGGAAAAGCCAAACCCAATGTCTACACGAGCAGCCTTGGCAAGCTGGACACCAGCCTTTCCCCAAATCGGGAGCTTACATTCGTTTCCTCTCAAAAGGAACTTTGTGATGTTGAAAATAACCGCGCCATTCCAAGGTCAGCTGAGGAAATGGCTTCAGAAGCTTCTTGGTTGGCGACGTTTTTTGCCAATAAATGATCGCTTTTGACTATTCGGCTACTCGTTTTCACTCGTTTATTTAATGGTTAGCTTTTTTCTTTCTCAAGCATTAGCATGGATCGATACATTGCTAGAATGATGCCAGGCGCACATGCCAACAGAGGACCAAAAACAATACCCTTAGCTCCGAATGCTATGACACCGAGTGCAATCGATGTTCCCGTTATTTTTTCAGACGGTAATACCTGGGCGGAAGGGCCAGAAGCAATCAAAACATCTTGATATATTAGAGGATGTATGCAATCCGAGTAGAAATAGTGAACGCCTATTAGCATCACGGTTCTAATAATGGATCTTTCAGCCACTCCCAAGAAGAAAATACCAAATGGAACGACAATCATAGAGAAGGACGAAGCAATTGGAAGGATCGAAATAATCCCCGACATGAGTCCTGCAAGCAACGAAAATGGAACCCCAAGAACCTCAAAGGATAACCACGTAAACATCGAATGCCATACGAAAGTTTTCACCATCTTTGCAAAAATGGCATTCAAGGAGGCCTCAATGGATTTTTGGAAGATTCCATTTGAATCGATGCTTGCCTCCAAGACTTCACTAAAGTCTTCAAGCACCGAAGACTTTCTGGCAACAAAAGTATGTGCAACAGAAGCAATAACGGCACAATGGGAAATAAAACCTGCACCGCTCAGCAAAACCGAAAAAACCCTGCTCCCTGCAGATGAAAAAGAGGAAAACACGTTGGCCAACGTGGCCTTTATTTTTTCCGCGTTGGGATTTGCACAAAAGTTATCCCAAGCCAGTTGGAAAACAGACTTCCATTCATGGAATATTTCCCCATAAGAAAAAGACGAGTTTAAGCCCAAAAATGATGTCTCCACAAATGCAGATGTGACCAATAAGTTGTAGTTCTTTAAAGTTACAACGGCTTGTTGGCAAAAAAGGGTAAATGGGTCGACGCTGTCCTCATTCATTTCATTTGCCAACTTGAGAATTTTAGATGCAGAGAAATTGGCTGTAGGAAATCGTTCGTTAACTTGAGCATCGAACCAAGAAGCAGCAGTTTCGGAATATTCGGTGGTAAAATTTTTTACCCCAGGAAACTGTTCTCCAGACATCAAAGATGACACTCCATGCGTGACGATGTAGCGGACATGAAAAACGGTTTGGACTACCGTGAGAATAATTAACGTGTAAAAAAGAAAGGTGCTTCCAAAAATCAAAAAAGAAGCCAGGCGAGAATGCAGGCGCTGTTCAGCGTCTTCTTTATCGCTTGCCGTTAATTGTGGAGCCAATTTAGGGCTTTTCAGCCCAAAAATTTTTGTCTTAAAAGCCCTCCAAAAGGTACCAAACGCTTGCCTAAAAGCCTTCAAGGAAAAAAAAAGGATAAGAATCACAAAAATGGGAATCCACAAAAGAACCGGAATGTGCAAAATGAGCTTGATAATGATGCACCATGCTGAGCCGGAAAATAAAACTCCGAAATAAAAGGATGACGGCAACGTCGAAAGATGGCTATATAGCGCGCTGACTCTAACTTTGGCACTGTGACCGGAGACCTTTCCGGCGGCCGAGGCTAAGGCAACTCTTTTATCTATTGAGCCCTGTATAGAAGTTGGGACGTATTTGTGATACGTTTGAAGAAGAGGCTCGCACATAAGTTTAAAGCCCTCTTTGAAAATTGACCAAACCAAAGCTCTGAGCGTTCCGGAGGATATTGCATTTGGGTCAGTTGAGTTAAGCAGCACATTAAGGAGATTCCTTTTCAAATAGTGCAATGGAATTGAGAGTATAACCCCCCATATGATGCTGCTTATATAAGGGGCGATCGATACAAAATTAAAGTATAAAATCAGTGTGGAGAATACAATAAATAGCAGTACAGTAGAGCTTAGAAGAGCATTTCTAACTATAAGACGAACCTCCTTCTTTGAATACAAATTGGGAGGCTTTTTTTGAGCATCAGGATCCTGCATCTGGCAAGAAGCCGGCGGCGAGGCCGACGTTAAGTATGCTCAGTTCGTCAAAATTCGATTGGGCCAAAATTAAAACATTTGGAAACCCACTTTTTAGTGAAAAATTCATCCAATAAAAAACTTTATAACGATGCACAAGTTATCGCTTCATGGGGGATGGATGTTGAATTTACAAATTCACATCTGTTCTCAATAAAGAGCACTAGCTTTGCGAAAAATTCCAGACGGTCCAACTATTTTGGCTGGAATTTCGATTCATCATTTGAAGGGGGTGACCAACGACCATAGCCAGAGTCTGACAAGATGGTGACAATGACGGACCCCTTTGGTAGCTTTCGTGCTGCTTTGACAACAGCAGCTAGATTGAGTGCTGAAGATGACCCGACAAACAAACCTAACACGTTAGGGCTTCAATTGATAGATACATTCGTTATACAGCAAAAAGGTTGCCATTTCAATCACTTCGGAGTCGTTGATCTTTATATAATCGTCAACAAGACGCGGGATTTCTGCAACAATTGAGCCCAGCCTGTTAATCTCCACATCCTGCACAGCGGAGCCTACTTGATGTTTACTTCGGGCTCCTTCCTGCCCCTCTGAAGGGAAAGAGACGCCAGTGTTGACGCACGAATGTACCCCAGAATGTTGGGGACCGGCCAAAAAGACCTTTATATCTGGCCTTTGCTCCTTTAAGTACTTGGAAACACCGACCACGGTTCCGGAACCCCCGGCAGAAAACACAATTGCCGATATATTACCGGCCGCCTGGGACCAGATCTCGGGTGCTGTTGATTCATAGTTAGCAGTGACGTTGTTGTTTAAATTTTCAAACTGGTCAAAGAAAATTCGGGTTGTCTGCGACGGAAGTTTCGCATAGCTTTCTGCTTGCTTTGAATAGTGCTCGGGATCGATAAAAGAAGCAGGAGGCGTTACCACGACTCTGGCTCCAAAAAGCCGCATCCACTTTTGCTTTTCTGGGGATTGATCTGACGGCATGAAAATGGTGCATTTCGAGTTAAATTTCCGAGAAATGCACGCCAAAGAGATGCCTGTGGACCCTGTCGATCCCTCAACTATTTCTACGCTTGTATTTCTATTCATGGCTTCAGGAGAAGATCCAGGCGGAGAAAGGATCCTATCCTTAACAAGATTATTGAAAAAGTGCATCACAATTCTGTCCTTTGGCGATCCACTCGGGTTCATGTACTCCAACTTTGCCAAAATGCGGCAGCCCGTAATGTTTGAGAGCGAAATCAATTCAATCATCGGCGTGTTTCCAATCAAGCCCAAAATTCCATCCCGCTTAATCGGGGAAGGCCTGAATTGCCAATACAGCCGAAGAATAAGCGCCGAATATATTGAATTTCCAAGCCGCCGTAACCAGAGCCAAAAGGCTCCAAACGGAACACTGGGGAAACGGTTCATGAGGTGACAAAAAATAAAATTTATTACACGAAAGGGCTAATTTTGGAAGTTCCACAGCGAATCCCCCAAATAATGAAGGGTTATAAATGCCCTCCCTTTGCTATTTTCTGCAATTTGCTTGCTAGACATTGCGGCCCTGGCAATGCAAAAAGAGGATTCCTTTCCGACAAGGTAAAGCGAAACATAATCGCCCTCCTCCAACGGAGACAGGGAGTCCTTATTTACGATTCCAGGGATCATAAGATCAGCCCCTGACAAAAGATGAGGCATCGTTCCCCTATCAACACAAATACGAGGCAAGATTTTTGGACCTAACATATGGATTAAGCTTGGAATGGATGCATACATAAATGCACAAATTTTAGCGTTGGAAAATAGTTGACCTCGTCGAACTGCGAAAAAAACAAAATCTGACCATTTGATTGGAGAAAATTAATCTTCTCTTGGCTAAAAATAAGATGCCTAGTCAGTAGTACCATTTAAGGAGCGTAAAGGGGGTCTTTTTGGCGGAAAATGTATCCTCAAGCATGGCTTTGACATCGGGGTCAGATCCATACCTCTCAATTAGGCTGTTCTTTATTGCCTTTTGAGCGGATGAGCGGATGTTTGTTTGCCCGTGAATTTCGTCTTGACCTGAAAATCTATCATTGTTAGCGAAAACCGGAACCTCTTAAACATGAATTGAAAGAAGAAAACGAATGGTAAAATTTAATTGCACAAACAGTTCTTGCTGGTAACATTTCAAATGAAAATATTTGAAACCTCAAATTCAAAATATCAGAAAAATTTTGCTGCCAATTAAATATCCGCACATAAAGCAGAGGGTGATAAAATTTATTGCCTGAATGGGGGGGGGCGATGGGGGCTGTGAAATTATTATACAAAAAGGGAAGACTCGGAAATGGACACCATTAAGAGGGAGATTCCCAGATTTTTACCGTCAAATCCTTCTCTAAAGCACCGCTTGCGATCAAGTTTCGCTCTGGATGGCAAGAAACGGCAAGTGAAACATCTAGGTAAAATTTTACAACAGCAAATACCTTGATGCGCTTTAATTTTTTGAACAACACCTACATGACCCTGTAGATCCCACAGATAAATGAAGCCGTCCTCACTGCCAGAGACAATCCATTTGCCAGATGTCACGGAAAAAGCAGCAAAGCAGCAATAGGTGTCATTCTTATGACCCCGATATGTCTTAAGGCATGTGCCAGAAGATGGGTTCCATAGCCTCAGTGTTGAATCAAGGGTACTTGCTAGAAGATATTTTCCGTTTGGGGAGAATTTAATGTGAGATACAATGGGCTTATTGGAAATCTCAGAGTCAGGTTCAGCATCTGCCAAAACCGTCTGTTCTGAGGGCGGATTTAGAGGAGGAGGAGATGGAAGCGTAAGAACCAGCTCGCCTGTCTTAAAAAGCCATAAGTGAATAGCCCCGTCAAATCCAGACGTAGCTAAAAGAGATCCATCTCGATGGAAATGCACGCAAGACACCGGGCTTGTATGTCCTAGCAAAGTTCGGACACCTTTACCAGACTTTGTGTTCCATATCACAACAGAATGGTCGTACGAACCAGATGCGATGAAATCTGAGGACACATCGACTGACATAGAGCAGCAGAATACATAATGCATGTGCTGGGCAAGGGTTTTTTGCTTCTTCCCCTTTTCAACATTCCATAGAATCAACGTGGTATCGTCCGATGCCGAACAAATCAGCTTTGAATCGTTAGACCAAGCAATGTCCGAAATACCGCCAGAATGGCCCTCAAGGGTCTTCTCCAATCGACCATCAGAGACCCTCCATATTTTGACCGTTTTGTCCAAGGACGCGGTGCCTAGGTAATTTCCGTCCGGAGAAAACTTTACAGAAGAAATGGACTGGGAGTGTCCAGAAAGTGAATACTTCAGAGAATAGGCAGGAAAAATCAGATTGGCTTGTCCAGAGCTCATAATAAAAATTAAAAATTAATTGACATTCAATTTTGATGAGATTGATTGGAGCAAAACTACATAGGCAGTATGTGATTGGCGATAGGATTCTCGGTTCAGGTACTTGCACAAATACGGATCCAATTTTAGGGGCTCAGGGAACTGTTTTCGAGGGATTTGATTTGGAAAAGTGCGATCGTGTAGCAATCAAAATCATAACACACAAATATTCCGTTGACACGTCAAACTCAACACAATCTAAATGTTCTGATTGCTATCCATTTATACAGTTGAGCGCTCCAGTTCTGCCAAGAAAATCATACAATAATGATTACCTTCTCAAGTTACAGTCTATTTTCCATGAAACAAAAGTGATATCCATCCTTAAGACGTCTGAACATGTCATCAAGATCAGAGATGTTATTGTTGAATCGTTTCGACAAAACTACACTTGCGGCAGCTCAGAATTTTTCAAAGATTCTTCGCCCCAAATTGAGGAGTACATATTTATTGTGATGGACGTTTGCATAGACAGCATTGACAGCATCTTTTTCAAGCTAACCCAATTTTTATCCACCGATCCTACGGTATTACAATGGCTCGATTTTTTACCAACAGAAACCTAATTCTGTGTATTGTGAAGACCTCGATATAGGGCTTCCCCTGTCCATTTGCAAAAGGTTTGGCTATTTTGGATTTATTACAGATGGTTTAAGCAGCTTCTTCAAGGACTTTCTGATATGCACAACAAGGGGATAATCCACCATGGTATTTGAATGCACTTATTGTAGACATAAAACCATCAAACCTTCTTTTGGGGCTAAATGGAGAATTAATTATCGCAGACTTTGGCGTGTCCCATGTAGTGGTCATGTTTAATTATAGGTCTTGTCCATTTTTGACAAGCTCGGCTTCTGGGTCGATCCTTCTCCAACAGGATCTCCTGCGTTTCAAGCACCTGAAGCCATTTCTTTTTTGCTTAGCTCGCCACTAAAAGAAACCCTTCCAAAATCGTCCAGGGAAAAGGCGGACATTTGGGCGGCTGGTGTAACGCTGTATGTTCAATCGCTTACTTTAGATACTATTTATTGTCGGGAAGATTCCCCTACAACGGAGATCATGTTTTTTCCCTATACCACTCCATAGCAAATTCTTTGAGCTGGGAGGTTTTGCCCCAATTTAGCCCGCTTACGGTTGATTTTCTCTCCATTCTTCTGGCGAAAAATCCCAAAGATCGCCAGTCTGCTTTTCTATTACTTCGTCATCCGTGGTTTTTCACGTCCGAGATTCAATTCGGTTTGGACACCTTCAATAATTATCTCTAGAAAATGTCAACGAGCTTTTGAGGGCTGAGAGGTTTCTACTTGGGCTGTCGCACAAGGAAAAAGACTTTTTCCATGATTTATTGACGAAATCAATTGAATTTGTAGGCCGCATGTGAGCATGCCGGGAATCTCCTGTCACATCATTTGCTTTATTTGCTTGGCTCCTTTTCCTCATAATCTACCGTTTGATCGTCTTCGGGATAGTTGGCATCTTCTGGTGTGGAGTGATCATTGTTGTTGGATCTGATCCAAATCAGCCTGCAAAAGATATATATGCCAAGTACCAAGGCTAGTGGTATCAATGCGAATGAGATGAGAGTAAAGCTGGTTGATCCTGGAACAGCATCACAATAATTTCCTTCAAGATTACACCAGTCATACCCCATAGACTCGGATGGATCTATTATGAGGTCTTGGGGTTCTCCCTCCTCGGTACAATAAAACCCTTGTCCACCTTCCGCCATCGGCACTAGGGGGCGATATTTTGACCCAAGAGAATCTAACCGCGCGTGCGAGGCCAGAAGTTTCCCTCCTTTTTCACAACCCTTCGCCTCTTTCCACCATTTATAATTTTGCTGACAATCAAAATTGTTCCAGCAGGGCATTCGGCAAGTTTTGTCCTTGGTGCTGCAGATAAAGGGCCGCTTGCATTTTCCGCCACTATCACGGCAGCTTTCAAAAAGAATGGGCAATGGAGCACACTCTCCGTCTCTGCAATAGGAGTCTCTATGGCAGTGGGCATCTGTCCTACAGCTTCGACCGTCAACAAGATCCCACTCGATCGTTTTCTCGTGTTTTGAGCATAAATTGGATTTGCTTGGATAGCATCTAGATAGAACAGGGTGACATCTTGTATTCTCTGGACATTGGCTATCAATTTCACATGGGGAATACATCCCAATTTGAATACATTTCCGTGTTTTTGGACAGCAAAAGTTCTTTACATTGCAGTCTGAATCGAAGGAGCAATATTTGCCCCCACAATCATCAAAATTGGCTGACAAGGAGGCACCGCTGCAGGGCGTCATTTACAACGAGGACAAAAGGAAAGCAGCACCACCGGTTCACTTCATCTTAACGATGGGGAAAAGTTTCAACTTTGACGTTTGATTAGTTCAATTTCAAAGCTTGTTTCAACGGATTTTAATTAAAAATTTAACACATCAATTAAAAAACAGACACCCGATCCAATAGAGCACCAGAATTAAAATAATGTTTCCATAGGAGGCAAAAAACCGCAAGCTGATCAAAGGAACATATGACCTTATAATGGCGCTGATAGACAATGAAAGACGACCTTTGAGGGTGTGGGAATCTAAGTTTAATTCTAGCCAATGGCAAAGCTCCACATGCAAAAGCTCGTTCAAGTAGTGAGAAATTGTGTCAAAAATGCAAACTAAAACGGCACATTCGCCTGGATAGATTATATTGCGCGCAGGCTCCACAGAAATGTCAATATTTGTGCACTTTTTCTCTCCGACTCGAAGCATTTGTCTTTCCCTGACGCTCAAGATGGTATGCCGAGACACGGTAGACGGATCTTCCGGATGGGTTAGCCAAACCGATGGTGCAGAAATGTACTTTGTCCGGTTGACTTCCTGGTTAAGAGAAGCTGCAAGCACATCGATTTTCATCTGCAAACGGTCTCCAATCTAAAAAATAGCCCACTGCTGTTTACCTCAAATATGGATACAAGCAGGTTCTGGATGTTTTCCAAAGAGCTTATGTCGTTAACAGGCGAATATATTGAGCAATCGATCTCTTCCTTTCGAATAAAATAGGAGGAAATTTTTGCGATCAAAGTGCCCGAATTTGAATGTGCAGGTGAAATGGACTGGCTCGACCTTAGCAGGGATAGGGAGAATTTCAATTTGGCAAGAAACCCCAAAACGAAATCCGGGACTTCTAGACGCGACATTCCGATGTCAATTTTAGCTTCGTGGAATTCTTTGAGCGAGGAAAGAAACCTAAAAAAGGAATTTCTGAAAACATCAACAAAGCCTATCTGCTTGTTATCTGTGAATAGCAATAAGGAGTAATTTTTGACGAATCCCTTCAAGATGTCAAGCGGAAACACCGTATAGAAGGACAAGTTGTCAGCGACAAATCTAGCGCTAAATCAAACATCAAAAACATTACTTTGCACCAACGGGCTCTGCTTTGGGGCCGGAAAGCCATTTTTGCCGGACACGATCGGGCTGGGTATAAGCCAGCCACAAGTCTGTTATCAGAATTAGCAGTTCACAGTCCTCGATGTCTTCAGAGGCAACATTGGAGGATAAAAAATATCTCAAAAACTTGAGCAGCGGGCTTTTCATGTTTGTATATACACAGTTTTGGATCACTTTAAGCTAGGAAAAATTGACACGCATACATCAACTTACTGGCTGGGAACGCGCGGAAATCCCAATAATAGAGATATGAAGGACTGCACTTCGCACAAGATCGAAATTGGCGCGGCTTTGAGGGACGTAAAACGAGTCAAGGAAAACGACCGTAAACAGGGAGACAAAGGATTCTGCCAGTCGCATTGCGACCAGGTTTTTGGTCTCCATGTTGGAGCAGAAAATAGACCGCAAAATGGACTTTGACGCCAAGCCTGCATTTGACACCGAAGGCGTCTCATCGATGGCATACACGGGAAACAAGTAGTACAAAAAGGTCTCAAAGAGATAAAAGAACGAACTGTGCGACTCTTTTTTCGATCGCAACAGCAGGGCTAGTAAAAAATACTCTGCAGGCGAAAGCAATACCTTTCGTCCTTGAACTATGTTAAAAATCGCAAGTTACCATCGTTCTGAGACGCTATTCTAGACGAGAAAAAGAATGGCAAGTTTAATTTGAGCTCGGCTGCGCCAAAAAAATGAAAGGGCACACTTATTCTTGGGATCAGTGAACAGCCGCCGCCAGAGAAAAGTTCATGGGACAAAAGAATCTGGAAAAGATCTCCATCTGGCTGCAAAAGCTCAACGGCGTTTGAGAAATTGGCAGAGCCTCCGCTTTTCATCCAAAAGTTTGGTTCGAAAACACCGGGGTTACCTAACGAGACACCCAAAGCATGTTTCAGCAATTTCGGTAAAATCACAACCACTTCTCGAGAGTCTCTCAGACCACCGGCCTGTATCAAAAAAGACTTTAAAAAAGAAAGAGACTGGTCATCAAGAGCTGCGTTTTCAGAATCCAAGAACTCGTTGACAAAAAGAGACGACAAAGAAAGAGAGGACGATGGCAATCTTGCAGTCCAACACGACGACATGAAAATTAATAAACTTTTGAAGTTTAATTTGCACAAATTCATGAGCGCTTCGTCTTCATCAGCCTCTTCCGTTTCGTCGTTTACGGCGTTGGATGTGCCTCACATCCACGAGGACTCCCCGTTGTCAATGCTGGAGCAGTCTGAATTTTTTTCTAACGAGGAGCTCAGGAGCATCACTGCAGCCCTTTCCAGGAATCAAGAGGATGTCTCCATGGGGGCTGTTCAGGTTCTCAATCAAATGATGGAGAAAAACCGAAAGACACGGGCAATTCTTGCCCGTCAGGATCCCCCAATAATCCTACAAAGGCTTGCCCAGCTAATGTGCAAACATCCGATTTCCCCGCAGCTCCTGTACGAAATTCTACTCTGCTTTTGGTTGCTAACTTTCCAGCCATCTACGGCAGCAATGTTCAGGTACCATTGAGCTTTGGCAAACAGAATTTTTATAGGGACTGGGGGATCATTCCACTGATCAAAGACAATTGCTCTACATCTTCGACTGAGAAGATTATCAGAATGGGTCTTGCCATCTTTAGAAATCTTCTTCGCTTCGCCAGGGAAGAAACGTCTTCCCTTTTGATTGGGTGCAAGGTCCTTGAATGGACCAGGCATCTTATTTTGCTGAAAAGATTTTCAGACGAGGAGATGCTAGCGGATATCCAATTTTTGCAGACCGAGCTTTCTTCAATTTACCAGAATCTAAGGTTCTTGTTGTGCTTTTATTTTAGCTCCTTTGATCAATATGCAACGGAAATAAAAAGTGGCATGCTGTCTTGGACACCTCCTCACCGATCCGATGCCTTTTGGAAGATGCATGTAAATCATTTTTTGGACAACGAAAAAGACCTTTTAAGGTATGCCATTTTATTTATCTTGCGTTACCTCTCAGGCGCCTGATATTGCACCTGGGAGACCCTTCAATGCTGGTCAAAGCAGTTGCCGTGCACGACGTCGGCCAATTTGTAAAGTACCATAGCGAAGGCAAAAGGTATTTCGGTTCCTTGACGCTAGGATTCTGGAGGAATGCGGTGGAAAAGTTCCTATGATGTCGCTTTTGGAGTGCCCAGACTCGAATGTCAAGTTTGAGGCCCTTACGGCCGTCCAAAAGTATATGTTTCACATGTCAAAATAATTTTAATTAACAACCAAATGTTCCATCACACTTATAATAAATGCCGCATCGATTTGTGCCCGATTTTATCGTTATCTAAGCGCTGGGGTGAGGAAGAAATCGAACATTAGTGGTCCTATTTTTCAGCTTTGGCTACCGCCGTCGATAATCCTTGTCCAAAAGCTCTTTGCAAAATTGATGCATGGATAGAGACTTTTTGGAAGAAGAAGAAGAAGATTCCAAGCGCTCTTTTTCAAGCTTATCTTCCAGTTTCGATATCTCTTCCAATCTTTTTTTGTATGCAGGCGTGACAAACTGTTCTTTATCTTCCAGAACAGATTGTTGCTTTTTTATTTCCTTTTGTGCTCGAATAAATGTCGATCTTTCTCGCTCAATCATTCGCTCTTGAGCCCGTTTGAGAATACTCTCCATATATCGAGGCTTCTAATATAAAACTAAGCCCAAAACCACTACCTTATCGTCAACAGGGCTGGAATGCAGGCTTTTTCTTTTATTTTGTGCACCATCGTAATCGAATACCAGTGGATCTTCCTTCAAAGCCTGTTGTTTCAAAGTTTCAACATTTGTTGCTCTAATGGAAGGGACTGAGGGTTTGTGTACATTTAGCGACGCAATGGGTAAAGGTTTTTCGTCTTCAAAAGCGTCCTTGAAAATCACATTATCATATTTACGGCGTTTTGGAATTTGAAGGCCCCAGGAACAAGAAGGTTTCTTTGGAGGATCCATCAAGTTAAAATACTGCAAAAATATTTTAAAATTACCGTAAAAATACTGCAAAAATATTGTAAAATAAAATGTAATGGCCACAAAATTTATTTCATTTTAGTTCTGTCCCCCGGCGGTTTGGAGTCGAGTGGATGGTGGTTTTGCGGGTTTCGCAGCAGAGATAAATGGAAGAGAAATTGTTTTATCGATCAAAAGATATTTAACGATGAATAATACTAGACCAACAGTGGAAATAGAGGCAACAACCAAAAGAAGAGAAGCAAAATTGGTGGGCGTCATAAACAGCTTGGCAAACATGCCGGCAGTAAAGCCTCCAAGCCCAGTGAAAACTCCATTGTAGATTCCCTGGCAAGTTCCCATAAGTCCCGGTGGCGCATATTGGGAAGACAGCTTGACTGCAGATGGCTGAATAAATCCAAAGTTAATTCCCTTTAGCAGCTCAACACACAAGAAAACATATAGGAACTCGACACGTGGTGGAATCACATAGTAGATCCACAGACGAACAGTCATAGCCAATTGGCCCAAAATCAGCATCCAATGTATTCCAAGTGAAGAAAGCAGATCCTTTGCTTTGAAAAATATTGCAATCTCGAAAAGAAGCCCCATGATGGCAGCGATTGAGGACTGAACAGGATTCATTTTTACATTTTCTGTAAAATACAAATTCAAGAAAAACGACAGGAAAAAACGGGCAAATCCGTTGATCAGGATAATTACAAGGAAGAAAATATAATTAAAATCGGAAAGCAGCGTCCATATTGAAGGCTTTGACTCCTTGGTGGCTGAAAGTGCTTCAATGTCTTCCTTGGTGCCAGTTGCATCACTGGCGGTGGCTGGGGAAGAACCACCAGCAGAATTCTGAGTGGACTCGATGTGCTCTGATTTAGGATCTGCTCGCGTAAATAAAAGGGTGTATCCAACGAATACTGCTGCAAAAATAGCGAGAGAGATGAACATCACATGATAGCCGTATAGTTTTATGAAATACCCAACGCCAAACGTCACGATACCATAGGCAATCGTGCAGAAGAGTCTTTGGCGAGAGTAAAGATCCTTCGAATATCCCTTTGCAGTAAGATCCTCCAAAACCAAGCGATCTATGAGGGGTGGCATAGCAGTGGCAAATAGGATATAAACGCCTACAATAATCATGGAAGTCAGTTGGGGGAGGTTCGGAATGAGCAGCAAGAAAAACACCCCAGAGGAGGTCAATGTCAATGCCACGAGCATGGTGCGATGGATGCTATACCCATCGGCAACACGGTTCCATAGGAAGGATGCAAAAAAAGTGACCAGCGAGATGACGGCAGAAAAGCCACCAAAGTTGCTCTCGTTGATTCCAAGAACATATTTGAAATACTGGCCTCGAAAGTAATAACATACATAGTAGAGGAAGCCAAAAAGAAGGTAAAAAATCTTTGTTCCAACAAGGTAGTCTCTCTTCATGTTGCTGATATCAGAATAACAAAAGATAATGGCGTTATTTATCAACAGGGTACCATTGGTGCAAAATCAAGAAAATGTGCAAAATTCAGGGGGTAGCCCAATTACACTATATGACCCTCTAAGCCAATCAACTCTCTTTTCAAAGTTGGCTGCATTTTATAATTGAATATTAGGATGTGCTGGTCGCGATGTCATTGGGCCGCCCCAAATAGGCCGCTTTTGAAACCCAAAACAGGCAACTTTGAACACTTTACATGTATCCGCCGATATTTAATAAATTAAAGAAGCCTAGAATTCATTGGAGCACACGCACAGGAATAATACGGTACACCAAATTGACTGTGAATTTACAATTTATCCGGTTAAAGATCAAGGCTTGCTCAATTGAGGGGGATATCTGGAAAATCGGCATCCTCGGCGGGCTGGATGCAGGTGAAGTTTGAAATATTACACATCTCCCTGGAAAGGCCAAGCAGAATCATTTCTAGGTTGCATGTTTCGTTCCAGGATGAAAGAGCAGGGAACTTTTCAGCGATAACAAACCCGGTGTCTTCATCGACGCAATTCATGCTAATGAGGGTGGTAAACTTTACGATCGGCATTTCGGCTGGATATTGAGGCCCGCAGTAAATTCTTATTGAATATATGCGCCCCTCAAACGGGGTCTAGTGGCGATTACAAAGACACCCGTACATTTAATGGCCCCAGGATGGTCCCTCGCCACGAGGAAAGAAGCATGTCGTCGGGATCCTCCAGGCCCAGCGAGATGGTTCCATCGCCAATGAGCCCCTTTTCGCCCCTTTCGAGCTCTTCAAGAAGAATGAAATTGCGGGGAATGGCTAAAACATCATAAAGAAAGGCGTACTTCTTTTTGTTGGACAGCTCATTGGAAAAAATTGAGTTTAATAAAGCGCGAATTAAAATTTTTCTCCACGCAAATGTCAAAAGCAATGTCGCTGTCAAAAAAGTCGAAGCATTTTTTCCGGCGAATCTCGTCCATCGTAGCGGGCAAACACATCAACTCAAGCACTTGCAGCACGGAGACCAACAACTCCTGCTCTTCTGAAAGTTCCGTGCAATCATCAGTTTCATCTTTTTTACTTAGCGAGGCAGCACCAGTATCACCGAGTCAAAATAGCCAACTACTTATGGATGAACCGTCGTACTCGATCCCTTGTACGGTATTCAAAAGCAAGTCAAAATTAAAGACCCATTCGCAGGCAAAACTGTGCATTACATCGGACTTGATTTTACTGCAAGTCAAAAGAGCCCTCTCAAGGTCCAAAAAGGTACCTGGGCACATGTGACTTGCTTTTTTGTAGATTTCGATTTTCATTCCGAACATTTTATATTTTGACTGCAATCCGCTGGCAAATGTCATTCGGCTTTCATATCCCTCCTCCAAATCCAAAAAAACCAAGAGCATTTCAATCCAGTTTTCAGATTCCCATTTTGTGACTTTGGTTTACAACTCGATTTCCGCCCATTTTACACCTGTAGCTGCCATGGAGAGAGGAAGGAACACCGAGAAGCACCTCAGGATAAAAAGCAAATCTTGCGAGCCAAGTCCTTCCAGCAGGATCCAGAGCCACAGGAAATATCGGCACTCCAGCCCGATATTGCCTGTTCCCTGCTATGTTTACCAATTTCCGCCATTCTCGATGCCGCTACTTGATGTCACGTGCATTCAAGCCAATACCATATTTGATTTGATTTCAAAGTGGACCATGATCGATTTGGCCGATGGTTAGCTGTGATTTCCTCATAATCGCCTAGGTGTGTGGGAGGACCCTGATTTGGTCGATTTCGAATTGTATTCGTTTCTTTTTCCACAGTCGCCATGGAAGCCCCAGAAAATAAGGAAAGGAAATGTTCAATTTTCTGCCGAGCTCGTGGGCTATCAATGTGACTATCTTTTGTTTTCCGAAGAGTAATTCCACATATCGCCTTTTACTTTAGCAAAAAATGTGCCTCCATCGACTCCATTGTCAAAATGACTCGCTTCCCAAGCTATTCAATTTACATCCGCAAAATATTTTATGCTGCCTGCTCCATTTCCATAAGCGCAGAGGTCGAAAGCCAAGATGCCGACCCTTATTCTGCAAAGCAAAACAGGGGGGTCAGGATCTTGGTAACCTCGTCGCTCAAATCATATTTCATGCAGACAGGCTCGCGGTTGCTGTTCCCAGATAGCCATATAGAGAGCGCATCTTTGCCGAAGCCATATGTTTCCATATTTTCATCCATACTTGTCTGTATGGTTTTGGTGGCGCTTTTTTTTTGCGATTTAACCTACCATGCACTGAAAAAAATCTCAGGGCTGTCTGCAGGAACGGCAAGTAGAACGGAGGCTGTCAAACTCGCCTTTGTTTCTGGGTTGGTTTGCTGTCTACTGTTTCTATTGGTCGTTTTATTAAATAAGCGGTCTGGGGATGAGATTTTGCAACTTGAAAATGAGCTGCTATCAATTCTTGCACAGGAGACGCAAAAAAACATCATCGCCCAGCTGAAATTCTAACGGGTGAAACGTTGGGGGATACACAGCTAGTTTCCAGCATGCAGGAACCTTTCATTGCTCTAGCAATGTTTGCTGTAACACAGACCTCAACACCCAATCTGGCGTACGCTGGATTCCATGTCCCTGCTGCGGAGAGCATGTGATGTAGTAGTGTTCCTTTTCATCTGCACATTCAAGAATTCTTCCCTTGCATTCAAGTATCAGCGGAACCAAGAGCGAGGGTCCAGGTACACACGATTGAGAAATCCTGAATGTGATTCCTGTAAATAGGCCCTGTTCTGCGACAAATGATCGCGCCCTGGATAAAGATTCTGAAAGGATGAACCCAAATGCCCCTTCGCCGATTGAATCCTTTAGCGCATAGCTTTCCACGTCCAGCTCGAAAGTCCCAAGAGCAATGGAATCCAAAAGCCATTCTTTGCTTACAATGGTAACGCCTCTCGCAACTGCAAGAAGGAACTACATTGAGTGTGTTTGCTTACCTTTGCTGTTCGGGATATTGCAGTGGCCACAAGGTGTGTACATGCAGGTAAAAGCTCCTCGCCACCGCCTTTGGAAGCGGCGATGGATCCTCCCATTGCTTCCCAGGAATAAATTTCAGAGGCCAATAGCTTGAATCCTGTTACAGAAATGCAGGGCCCATTGCAGGTTGACTTTCGTCTTCTTCCCCTTGGAGATTCGCTAATCGTATCCGCATTGCTGCCTTTCAGGGGTTTCTCTACTTTGGGGGAAAATTTCTTCTTTTTTGGCGAAAATTCGGGTGCTTTGTCCTCATCAGTAACGGCGGTCACGTTCTCTTCACAACAAGTAGTATTGCGTATTTCGGCTGTCAAGCAGTCAGCGTTGGGATCTTGCAGTGCGGCTCCACGGAATTCTGCTGGCGTATGATCCAGTGAAGCCAGGGGATCATTTAACAAATGAATTTCTTCTACATGGCTTTGGAGAGGAGTGTCCAAATTTTGCTGCCAATAAAAGTCCACACCAATGCTGGTTTGATGCTGGTTTTCTGGAGCCTCCGTGTCTGCATGTACATTTGCAGCCATATCGGCCCCTCTAGTCTCCGGGGCAGAAACCTCACTTGTGGCTGCCGCAAACTGGTCCATTAGCCACTTTCGGTTGCGAATGGGAATGTTTAAGGCAAGAGCGGTGTGTATATTTCTAGCAATTGATGACCAATAAAATGTTACTCTGACTCCAGATCCAGCTGCGTATCAGTATCCCGCTCCGCAATAAGAAGCGTCGTGCGTTCCACATCAAGTTCCGCCTCTGTGACAGCACCTGCAGCAGCAAGCAAGGCTCGGACGAGTGTCAGATCTCTCCCGCGATAGCCGGAAAGTGTTGCAACGTGTCCACAAAGAAATTTCCATCGAGGCGATTGTGGATCGCGTGGAGCATGCAATGGAGAGGCATCGGCATAGCCGCCAAGGTTATTTATTTGATCAACCAGCCAAAAGAGGGTCACCTGAGGGAAAGAGCTCAGTGTCTTTTCAACCACCGGAGTGAGGATGTAAATCTTGCGGCCCGCCGTTTTAGGCGGGAGGCAAGAAATAAACGTTGCGCCGCATTTCTCCGCCGAAGATATAAGCGAGCTTGCTAGCGAACGTGTATGTGGGTCTTCGGCGTCAAAGATATATCCATAGTTAAGCGGTAGGAAATATGCGTCTCGCAACATGAAGAGAACAGGCTAAAATGGAATCGTTTAAAAGTCAATTTGACGATAATTTAGTGGGCTTTTATTTACGCTTGTAATGCCGCTTGTGGCTGTTCGACATTGGCGAGGTAGCCAAGCCTCGCGTATAGCAAGTGGAGGCAAATTTTCCTTTCACACCGGCGGTCCATGAGCAGCCCATGTCTGGGGACAATTCCGATGGGGTTCCTCCCGTTGACGAAGGTGGCCCCCCTCTTTGAGAGTGGGTCTGCTTGTGGAAAGCCGGTTCTACCTGAACATGGGGCTGCTCGGGATATTGGTACCCAGGCGGCATGTGCACATAACAAATCTTGCTTCCTGCAACGTAATCCTTCAAGATAATACGTGCAGCACGAGAGACATCGGAGCTAGACCCACGGGCAGTGGCATATGCGGTGAGAAGCTCCCGTCCAGTGGGCGGCCGCCTTTCATCTTCACCCTCGTAGGGAAAGGGAAGCATTAGGGTATATGCATCCTCAAGCACATTACGAGGGATGCGGGAGGCAACTAGGTCGCACGGGGCGATGTAGTCTCGCAGCTGATCGATGGGAAGAATGCCATTCACCACAAGCTCTGCCTTGGTGACGGCAAAGTTTGGAAAGACCAAGCCAGGGCAGTCCACCAGGCATATTTGCGGAAGTTTCCTCTCAGATGATGCAATGGGGGATCTCTCACAACATGAAGACGCTGTCGAACTTGCTGCCTCGTCTATTGCTGAGGTATGCTGTTGCTCGCTCACATCAACGTTCTCTTCAAGAAAAATGGTCTGTAAATGTTTGGTCTTTCCAGGTGTTGCTCCGACGCGGACACGCTTAGAAGCCAGCAACGAATTGATGGCAGAAGACTTGCCGACATTTGGGTATCCAACCAAGCCAACATTAAAGGAAGGGCCCCCTAAATTCTCGCTGTTATCAGCGTCATCTCTGAATGTTTCAAAAAGTGAGATGAGCCCCTGAGGCGAACATATTCGAGTCGTGTTCAGCGTTTCGCCCAAAGAAGACCACTCTGAAGCACACTGTGTTGATGAGTAAAAAATGCAGTCGATCGACTCTGCAGAAAAGTATCGCAACCATTCTGCCCGTTGCTCCTCGGTCAACAAATCCGCCTTGTTTAGCAGCAATATCATGGGCGTATTTCGACCTTGTCTTTCATCCAGATATTGTGCAAGATCCTCGCACAGAAACAAAAGTGGATTCCGGGCGTCCACAATCTGGATGAGCAGATGCGATCGCTCAATCACTCGCCAAAGCTCACGCCACATGTCCAGATTAAGTTCATATGGCGTGAGCACTAAAGGGGCATTTCGCTCCTGGAAAAGCGCGAGATTTCTCCTCCAGCTGACAAACGATATATTTTCGAGACGTTGCAATTCATCCGCATCCATGTTGTATTCCCACAAAGGCCTTCGTGGGATCCGTAAAGCTTCGCTCAGCTTGCTACCGGTAACAAGCTCCAATCCTGAAAGCGAGTCCATGTTCTGGCCGCGAGGTTCGACCCCATAGCTACGAGAGGCATTCCTACTGGTGGACCCGGAAATGGTATAGTTTCGTTCTATCCGAAATATGCACAATAAAAATACCAGACGCGAACGACACCTCTGACATTTGCGCGCACATCAAAAAGTCATCCAGCGAAGAAATTTCGGTTACCGAGCCCCGCACGGAAGGAAGGAGAGAAGAGTCATCAGCAAACTAGTGATAAGAAAATCAAGACATACGATAAAGTCGTTGGTTCCCGCACCAACTCTGATTCCTCGTGGCCTATGTCGTTCCCGCAAAAGAGTGCTCCCAAGCGACTCGGACGAGCGGTGGTTATTTCTCGGCATTAAGTAAATAATTTTTTTATTTTATTTTAAATCTTTTAATGCCACATCAAATTAGGGCCGTTAAATTGCACACCTTTTAAGCTGTTGGAATTGATGGGGTGGGTCGGACCAATTGAAACTGGCGCCCAACAAGGCTGGAAAATAAAAACACGCCATTTTATTAGGTGTCCATAACAGATGTAACACACTTGGGTATGCGGAGTGTCTCGATCGGTAGGTATTTACGGCTCTCAGATAGCTTTTCCCTCCGATTTTGTGCTTATAAATCCGCCAGGGTAAGCTTTAATCGGAAGGCGTCTGAACCGTCGTTGTAGTAAAAATCGCGTCGTTTGTCAATGACAAATCCAAGCTTCTGATAGATGCTGATCGCGGCCACATTCTCTACCTCCGTATCAATAACGATCTACCATTAATAGCAAGGCAATACCTCGTTGACATGGTTCGCACAGGAGAAGATGAATCGTCTGATACATTCAATCCCTACGACAATAAGCGCCAAAAAGTCACGGACCAAGCCCTTTGCGCCGATGCTCTGGATGGACCACCAACATGCCAATATAGCCTCGTGGGGCCCCTTGTTTATTATGTGCAAGTCTTCCGATGATGACAGCCACCAGAGTTTGGTCGTCCCTTGCCTTTTGTGAGAAAAACACCCAAAGAGATATATTGGAAATTTAGAACAAGCCGGCAAGGAAAAGACAAAGTCAAAATAATTATTCAAGTGTAAGACTGGGATTCAACGGTTTACCATGTGACAGAGCCAGGGCCACGAGTACAAAAAATAGCAATATGTAAAGCGGGAGTACTTCTCTGGAAGTACTGCAGACACCAGGGCGACAATGTCATCCACCTGCGTGGCGACGGGACGCTCATCGGCGGCGAATGTGCTCCAAGTGACCATAAATTTTTTTGCTTAATTTATTATTTTACTTGCGTCGTCAGAACATGATCCCCTGCCATTGGTGGTTGGTCAGAAGACTCTTCGACAGTTTCTGGATGCTTTCCAGCCTCTTCGGGACCATCCCCGTCAAGGATGGCTTTCATGTCACAAAGAGAGGCGGGATGGTCCTTGGACCAATGCGGGTCGAATATCATTGAGATTATGTCGGTGCCCCGCATTCCAGACATGTCAAAGACGCGGTTCTCCACATGCGACCGCATAACTACTCCTGTTTCCTTTGTGATTGGATGTGTAAATTGAAGCGGTACCAGCGCCTTCTTGCAAAAGGCCCCAAAGAGGAAAACTCGCGGCGTATCCCGTGCTACATCGATATTCTTCTTCAAAGAAAGCATCGAGATGATCTACCAATTACGATACTCTGTCAACCTCGCCAATGTTCAGGGCATGGATAGTCCGATGTCCCAGATGCGTCACCCCAATGGTGTGGATGGCATTTCGCCGACAGTCAAACAGATGCCGCCATATGACGGCATCTGCCGCTGCCTTTTGGTCTGGCGCGGAAAACACACGTGCGTCAAAATGAGCCAGACTGGAGCGCACGCGGTGTTGCACCTCAAGCATCCGATCGGTCCAATCAAAGGCCGAAATGTGGGCATTAAAGCGCGCAGAGGCAAAGCCTGCAGCAATGGAGCAAAGCTTGATCACTCGACCGCCATAGGGGTAATACTCGCGCAATCGATCTCCCTTGAAAATCAGTGAAATTTCGTCCGACTGCGCAAAGGCAAAGCTTTATGTGAAAAGGCTACACTTACGATGGATTGAAATGCTCTACCAGGTCATTCATTGTCTTGATCATGGCAAGAGTCAATCTTTGGTCAAATGGACGTACCATTCCATTGGTGAATTTCTTGAATGTACAGCCATCCAGGCGGATGACATAGGGTTTCCCCTCCTCCAATAACACCGAAAACTTGCCCTCCATTTCCTTGACAGAGCTTGCAAGAGACTGGGCCATCTCCTATGATGCGGTTACATGCGTGGCAACAAACTCGTTGGACCATTCCAGAGGCGAATCCGAAGCGCTCACCAGCGCCAGACGAGAGACACCTCCTCAAGTGCATTTCCAATAAAATTTACATGGCTTTACAATTTAATGGGACAACAAATAAATTTACAACCGCCCTAACCTCCACCGAGATGTTTAAAATGCACGGCAGTAACGGAAGGGTCGGAAAGCATGTTATCGAGTCGCTTGCGCCCTATCCGTAGCATGTATTCAATTGTTGCAAAGTCTGATTTTGATACTCGCCTGGAGTTTGCTCTAAATTCCCCCATCACGTAGGCACGAAAACGTTCCCGTAAAACCTACAATGAATTTTGATGACAAGCTACCGGATCGCCCCGTTTGCCACAGGCACGGAGCGCTTCTCTTGCAAATGCCAACACCTTGAGCTGCAGGCCAGAATATGCCATCAAATTGAAATAAATTAATTAAATTTATGGCCAACCCCCCCCCCATAGCCCGGATGGGATCGCGTGTCACACGAGCGCCGCGTCTGTGAAAACGAGTCCCTTGTCGCGGAACAAATGTGCAAAGATGACCATTTAATATGTGACGTTAATTTTATTATCAGATTTGCGATAAGACGCCCCTATACGAACAGAAAAGGCATCTTTTCCGGCGTGAGCTTGGGAGACTTGAAGTTGAAAAAATAATACCTAAATCGTGGAAGGATGACGATACGCCTACCTTAGAAATCCATCACCGGACCAAAATTTGCAGCCCTCGTCCAACAGCCTTTCAGAAACCCCAGCTGCATTGAGGCAGTTGCAAACATCGAAGCCCAGCTTATAGGCTTCCGCAAGTAAATGCCTAAGCAAATGTTCCGCATGCTCATCGTCGCGCCAAGCGGTGTAATAGAGATATGCGACGCGGATAGTTTCTACCTCTGCTTCAGTGTCTATCGTCGCATTTGGCCGGCTATCTTCACATTGTGCTATTTCGTCCTCGCAGCCGGGAATAGTGCCATCCGAAACTTTGGTTTCGTTGTTGTTGAGAACCTTAGAGGGTAGGGCATAAATGGCGCCGAAAGCTACCGAGACTTCTTCGCGAAACAGCAGATACGAGTAGATAACTCCTGGCCTTTGAGTCATCAGCCGCCGTATAAGCGAGGTGCCAAAGGCGGGTCTAAACTCAAAATGCTTGGCAAAATGTGCTTCCAATAGTTCAGCAGCCACTTTGGCATCTGTATGTTCTCGGAAGGCACGCAGGCAGTAGTCGCTCTGCGATATACCGGCAACAATCCGCTCCGGTGCATATTTGGTATTGAAGTATGCAAGCGTGGCCTCGGAGCACTTTGAAATGAACCCTGTCTCTACGAGCCTGGATACGCGCAGAGGATAATGCCAATATCTAGCGGTGAGAAATGATATTTTGGAGCAAACGGCCCCCAAGTGGCGAAGAGAGTTATCACGGAAACATAGAGACGCTTAACAATAGAAGCAACACAATGAAAACAGCAGCCACACATACCTGCACGTTGCAACGGGCGCCGGAAGGATTCTTTCGGTGGAAAAGAGCGCTTGGAACACACCATATTCCGCATGAACAAGCCGAGTTAGTTCCTTTATCAAAAGCGGTGCCAGCTGATGGCCACGCAATTCTCGATGCACGCAAAGAAAATTTACGAGCGCAATCTTTGCAGTGGATTTTCCAATGTGCATCGGCATCAGTGTAGCCGCAATGCATCCCTTAAGCGTCATCTGGCTATCGCGAATGCCCACAATAAGTGCAGGATGGGAACACAGACGCGATATGCTGGGCGTAGAAGAGTCGTCTTTTTCTGCACCCCCACCGCAGGCATCGGTGGTGGGCATCTCAAAGACGTAGTCCTCCAGTGCCCAGCGCAAAAAATCGGCCGAATACGCAAATCGAAGCGTACTGGGAGAATCTTCCACGTAATGGTCGCCAAGAAGCCCAACCATATCTGCTAGCTCTGCCGAATTTTCCACATGGAGACGGCACCAGTATAGCCCGGAAATGGGCCCTTCGATTACAGGTGGCTCGCCATTTATCGCCAATTCACTTGTCCTAGCATGTAAAGCTTTATTCGGCAGTGCACAGGATGCTGCATGCTGGACATCCAAGGGTTTCCCAATATCAACGGGCTTCACCGCAAGCAGGTCCACAGGGGTATGTGCCACAGGCTGTTTCTCCCAGAAGGGATGACGCCGCTGGCCGACAAGCCATGTGTACATTAAATTAAATTCCACCAGCCGAGAAGCTTGAATTTTAATGGATCGCGTATTTGTACGTTGCCGATGCGAGGGATCAATATTATAAATAAAGCGAGCTAGCAAAGACGATGTCACGGCGTATCGCCGTGATGCCTTCGGCAAACTTGACTTCGAGCGTGGTAGATCCAATTGTCTTTGCGGCCTGACAGAGCTGCCGCAACAGCTCCTCGAGCCGTCTCATGGTGCGTATGATGGAGCCTTCGAAAACACTGTCCGCAATTTTGCAGACAACGGCAAATTTGGCACCACGTGCCCACGACATTACCGCCTCCATAAGGGTGGGACGAAACTGCTCCGATAAAGCACGCTCGCTATCCCCATCAGCAGCAACATCATCGCTGACGATGCGCAAAGTGCGTGCTACGGTTCGCGCTGTCTCCAAAAGCTGTGCATAAGGTGCTCGCAGTTCTTCTGGAAGAGCACTAGCACTGCCTTCTGGAGCTCTCTCCTCGCAAACGAAACACGAAAGGAGAGCAAGTGCTGCCTCCACCGACAGCGCATTGAAGACACCGGCGAAAAGCAGCTCGGTCAATACGAGCTCATCACCGGTGGAAATCTCACATGCAACACGTCCTTTGATGATGACGACATCGGATGTTCGAGTTTCCAACATAAAATCGGCCGCGGCAGCGTTAGAAAGGCCGCCTGCTGGCTCTGTAAAGCCCAGAAGGCGGAGGACGCGCCGCCGCCGTCGTAGATCATCCATCTGCGAGACCAGGGTTGCGGCATGCAGGGTCCGTTGCGCAGCTACGAGTTCTGCTCGGGCCTCCACAACCGCCCTCGCTGCAGCCAATTCTGCATCGCTAATGCATAATTGGTGTACGCGGCGCTCAAGCGCATCACGCTTGGTAACGCTGCGCATAAAGGCGCCATCAGTGGCAAGCCCAAGGTCTTCAGTGGGAGAAAGCACTGGAATTTTCTCGCTAGGAAACTGGTGAAAAAGCTCTGTCATAGACGTGCCTAGCCGCTGACGCTGCTCTGCAGACTTGAGATCCCCAGGAATTACCATGCGAATCGAAGAGATATTGTCAACAAGGTCCAGAGAGAATGGTACAACTTCACCCGAGCTCACCATGACGTCTACGATCCACGGAGAAAGGTTTTGCGGCCGTGCACTCTTGATCTTGTGTGTGGACAACACTGCCCCCCATGATGCCCCAGAGTCGCCCGTGCTATTCTCTGTACGCACTCGCACAAGACGGCCAGGCTGCAAGAATGGCAAAATAATGCTAGCATCAAAAACACGACGGCGGATCTCCTCTCGCACCGTCCGTAATTGCTCCGTGGCTGCAAATCTTTTTAGCAACACATCGACCGAAGCACATTTAGTCTCTTGGACTATGGATTCGCTTTCTGTCGCAAGGGTGCCATGTGTCGAGGGGAGTCCAACTGCACCTGTTGCCGGTATGTCTAGCGCAGAAGAAGGATTCGGATGCAAATTGCCGCTGGAGCTGCCAACGATGTCCAAATGGGTATCAATGGCAGGTGATTGGGCATCAATGGAGCCAGAAACAAAGCGAGAGGCCTCGGCAGCAGCATTGGCAGCAGCGCTTGCGGCCGCCTCAACACGGGCAGCAAGAAGCGGCAATGCACTGCGATTTTGGAACTGCATAAAGGAACGCTCAAGCATGGCCTCGGGGTGGAACCCTTCTAGTCGCATCATGTTTAGCACCATGTTGTATGAGAGCCTAAATGCAGAATGAAGCGGATCTGCGCTGCCACACATTATTGAACGCAGAAGTTCTGGTTGCACGCGTTCGCTCATCATCAGGATAACAACACCTCGCGCATCGATACCACGGCGGCCTGCCCGACCAGACATTTGGATATACTCGCCAGGTGAGATCGTCCGCACGGTTTCACCATCAAATTTTCGGATCGCAGTGAAGACAACCGTTCGCGCTGGCATGTTCAACCCGATAGCAAAAGTTTCTGTGGCAAAGAGGATCTTTATCAGGTTTTCCTGAAAGAGAATTTCGATGACCTCCTTGAGCACAGGCAACAGCCCAGAGTGATGCAGTGCAATGCCGCGCCGTAGCAGCGGCAATAGCGAGGCAATCTGCGGTAGTGATCGATCCTCTTCTGAAAGAGCTTCTGTCGCATTGGCAAAAACGAGCGACACCAGATCTTTTTCGTCTTCCGTGTTGAGGTCCATCCCGGCCATTTGGACGGCATTGGCTTCACATTCGCGCCGCGAAAAAGAAAAAACTATCGCCGGGTGCAGAGCGCGGCCCATAATAAGCCGTATTATCTTTTGTAGATCAGAACCGGCCGTGGAAGACCGACTTTCTTGGCTGCCCACCGCCGCCAGTGCCTTGGCGAGGTTATCTTCGCGGAAATTCTTGCGCTCATCGAGCACAAGATGGATGCCATCGCCACTTGCCCCAAAGACATAGTGCTGCAAAGGGGTTGGTCGCATTTCTGTGTAAACCACATGGCACGGTTGCTTGTGAAGCGCGCTGATCCACTCGGCAAATTGCAATGCATTTGGAATCGTCGCAGAAAGAAAAACGAAACGCACACTTGACGGCGTCAAAATAATTGTCTCTTCCCACACCACGCCACGCTCCTTATCGCGCATGTAGTGAATCTCGTCATAGATGACCCAGGCCACTTCTCGCATTACTTCTGAGCCGCGGTACAGCATGGAGCGATATATCTACCACATAAGACTTTCAGCTCACCTCGGTCGTCATCACTAGGCAAGACGCGGCAGGATTGATGGTGACATCTCCTGTCATCAGCCCGACGTCGCCAAAAGCATCCAGCAGCTCGCGATACTTTTGATTTGAAAGTGCTTTTATGGGGCTCGTATAGACTACGCGCTGCCGGTCGCGCAGGGCCATGGCAATGGCATACTCTGCCACAACTGTCTTTCCAGCGGACGTGTGTGCGGCAACCAACACCGACTCCTTAGCCTCGAGGCAGGCAATTGAGATTGCCTGAAACGGGTCAAGTGTGAATGGATAGCGTCTTGCGGGGCTCTCCAAAGTGGCAGTGGGGTCATATTTTGGCACATGCTCAGGGGTGCACGCCTCTGGCAGTGCTACCTCGTGCCGCACCGTGGGCAGGGAAAAGTTTGCATGTAGCGAGGAACACCCGTCTGGATCCATAAAATAAATTTTTTTACATTTTATTAATTTGAATTGACAATCAAGCAGCCTAGTGAAGGCAATTGTACACCCCACAGGTATCCGTATGTACACATTTACACATTTATACAGCGAGTCCGCATATCGGCCACTATCGTACACCCACGGAAATAGTTTGTGGTCGAATCTCGACAGTGTATGGCATTTGAATGATGTGCATCTCATCTGCAGCATCGTTGGCCTCGGTGGCTTTAGTGGCAGATGAGATCTCACAAGCAGACGGGTCAACCCTGACAAGGCGGCCATCCTTTGGTCTAAACAGCTGCATTATCGAGAAAAGCGCTGAAATTATGTTTGGCAAAATGATGTTCATGTTAAAGTCAAGGGTTGTCCCATACAGGGCCCAAGAGACCGAGGATGCAAATGCCGCCAGCTCCGGCGATGCTCTGAGTAGAACAGCACCAGAGAAAGCCTTCAAGCCATTTTTTTTGACGCCATTATTCAGGCTCTCCACCGTACCTTCCCCGTGAGAATATTGTAAAAGCGGCCAGCCGAGGGCGAGTAGCGAACCGCCACAAGCAATCATCCCCAATAGTGAATCATTTCCCTGTGTGCCGCATTGGACATACCACAGTACCCATACCAAAATCGCAATGGTGGCAAATGTTTGCACACCCAAGATCACCAGGCTCCGTTTGTCGGTCGGCAAGATGCCGCATAACAAGCACATGGCATACATTGAGATCAAAAACCCGACCACATTTATAAAAATTGTTGTTTTGTCGCTAATGGCAATCCCATAAAAGAACCACAAAACGCAGCTGAAAGTAAAAGGGAAATACTTACGTTGCTGTAAGCAGCATTGCAGGCATAAAGAAAAGATATCCGTCAAACTTTGCCGATTGCGCATCGATGGCGCCCTTCTCTCGCTTACGTTTGGAGCAAAGTGATCGGATAAATATCCTATTACAATCACCGATTTGAACAACTTACATCTTTAGAAAAAAGAAATACAGCGTGAAGACGATCGCAAAAAAGGCGAACGTCCCGGAAAGGTATGTGCACAGCATATATTCTCCAAGATTCATCAATCAGGCTGAAATGCCTTCCTGGGACACTTAACGTGCAATGTAATGGCAGAAGCACGTGTTAAAGCCAGCCATTGGACGGAGAAAACACCAATCATTGAGGATGTTACGAAATTAGAAATATTTCAAAATTCCAAATTGGTGCTGTTGGATATTTTTCCGATGCGGCCAATAGGATAGACAGCAAGGGCCACGGAATTGGGGTTTATCATTTGGATGAAAAAGCGCTAAAAATAGAATAGCACACCTAATGCAAGAAATTGCCAAAGATATCGAAACTTCTGCTGGCTAACAAAGTTGAACACAAACAAGCTTTATGGACAACGCGAATGCGTGCAGATGACAATGTCTGCTACGGATAAGCCAACTATGAATTTGATACACTTTAAAGAAAACAAAAATATATAAAAAGTCCATGAAACTTTCCAGTCATCAGCAGGGCTTTGAAAGCCAAAGCTCCATTAAGATGGATAGCAACATTTACAAAATAAAGAGTCTAATAGAAGATTTGTAAGGACCTTCAAATGAACATTTGATATCGGTATCCTCTTTMCATGTGATATCATACCAGAGGTAACAGTAGGGACATAAATGGAAGTACACACGGATATGCAGCCATGCAATGTTGCCTTAATTTATGAGAAAACAAATGTCGATGCTGCATAAGCTACCGCAGTATATGGGTTGAGATTGTCGTTTCACATCTTTTGATGTCGCTTGAGAGCATTTTTAAGATATACCGGTCGGTTTTTAAGCCTTCTACTGCCATCTAATTATCGGGAATGCCGATGTTGCCTTTGTGAGGGAAATTAATTTTAATTTTAAAAAGCAAGCAATTGGTGCGTCATGATGCAGGTGATTTCCGATAAAAGGAGTGCGGTATAAACGGTAGCGTGACTTTTGTCGCGTGCGCAGAAAAAGAGGCGCCCACAGGCACCACGAACGGGCCTTTTGCAGAAACGTGAAGATATCCCATCGCTATTGTCTTTCCCAATGTTGGAGATGGACAGCTTGAGGTAATTTCGCCCACTTTGTGACCCGTCAGCTCGTTGATGGGGGCACCTTCTATAGTGATAAGGGAAAAGTAAACTCAAATTCCAACTCAATTAGCAAGAGATTCTTACCCTTTGCCGGAATTACCGAATCCAAAATGAACCCTGTTCTCTTATACGGGTCGTCTAGTTCGACACTTGACATTTCACTAACGGCCCAGGAGAGACCAGCTCGCTTTGGAGTAACGAATTCCGCCAACGATCCGCGTCGATTGGAAGAAAAATCCACTCCAGAGAGCGGTAGCCCCGCCTCTAATCGAAGGATATTTCTTGCTCCGAGTCCAGCCCATTTTAGGAACTGGTATTTGCCAATGGCGTGTTCACAAAAGGAAACTCCCTGTTCAACACCATCAAATGCAATCTACGCTTGATAGTGGACTTGATACCTCAAAGCCGTCTTCTCCCGAATATCCAGTCCTCGCAAGTGTCCCAACACCGGGAATCGGCGCAATTTGGCCAAAGTAGATGTTCTCACTATTTTGAACAAGATCTTGCAGAATTTCTTTTGCCTTTGGACCTTTTGTGAGTGCGAATTTTTTACCCTGGATGGCTATTGAAGGTGTTGTGTGCTCCTTCCATTGTATGGACTCATTCTGCAATGCCAACTGCGAAATTGTCTCTTGTATCCTTGCATGGACGCTCTGCTTTTGCGAGGCATTGCAGACAAGCAGAACTTGTTTGTGGCTGGCATGAATCATTGCATCGTCGATGATGAAGCAATGGTCACTTAAAATCAGAGAGTATCTAAAAAAATCCTTCATCTCAACATTGGATCTTGTAATTTTTGATACCAGAGCAATTGCAGACCTTCCTGTGATTGAGATTCTGTTCATATGTGAAATATCGAAGATCAACGCACCTCGGCGGGCTTCTCTTGCCTCTTCAAGCGGAGAGAAATTTGGTGAAAAGCTTAATGGAAGCCTCCAGTCATAAAACGGCGTCATATGGGCGTCACGGGAAACGTGCATGCTGTGAAATGGACTCAATTTCATATCTTCAAAAATGTCACATCCACTGATTAGTGGAGTTATTGCACGCATTTCTTTATTTGGACGCTGTTGAGAGGTGCAATGTCAAACCTTAAACCGGGGTCCTTCTCGCTGCAAAAAGCAATCATGTGCTACGCGATGTGTACGCTTCCAGCAAGCTTTGCTAATTTTTGCGTTGCTTGTGTTGGTTTGGCTTGAAAAATCAACATGTCAAGTGGAGAATGTTGGGGTTTATTTTTACACACTAGGCGAGCGACTCCGTTTCGTCAAACCGCTGCTTAATCAGTAGAAGAAGCGCAGACTTCCATGCATCAAACGGAGACATCTTGTCAAACTCGGAGACTATGGCATTAAAGGACTCCAAATCGTCCTCCTTCAACGCGCTAATGATATCCTACGAAATCAGAGGAAATAAATACAGCGACAAAAGCGCACTCGAGCGACATAGAAAATCCAGAATCCAAAGTGATGTACTCAGACGTATGTGCTCTCTCAATAGAGGTCAGCTATGGGAAATATTATGCAATCGTCGGTACATCATAATCTCTGCTGGCAAGCATGCACAGTGAGGCTCGGAACAAATGTTCTTTGACGGACCATTTGGCAAGCGCCTGCGAAATGCTTTGTCGCGCCATTTCTTCAAATGTTCGCACGGCGAGAGGAAAGTCCTTGCAAAGTGCTGCAAGCATTCCAACTCGGATCAAACACGCATTGGACGTTCTAAAATAAGCCCTGCAAAACATACGCAATCGCGTCTTCGCCAAGAAAAAGATCGGAAGACTTTTGAAAAAACTCAATTGCCTTTAAAAAAAAAGGTTCACTTGATGGCGTAAAATAGTCCCCGGATTCAATTGGCTTTCCAGCAAGAATTTCATAGAGCTCCCCAAGGTCGCGAAATTGTCTGGCCGCCGTATGCAACCGTCCGCGTTCAAGATATCCCAGCGATGCTGTAGTTAGAGGATCAATTGCTTTTTGGGGAAATTCCGATTTTTTAAAGCAAGAGGCCGCCGAAACAAGCGCAGACAGCTCGTCGTCACGCTCTCCAATAATCGAACTGCAAGTGGCCATCCGTAAAAAGGCGCTTCCCGCATCGTTCCCTACAATAAAAAGTTGGCTTTACAAAGTTTGTCGATTTTAAATCTATTGGCAGCCTGTCCAAACAATTCGGCAGCCTGCTCCACATTATCTTCCTCTGACATGCGAGTAGAAAAGAGAGAGGATATCCACCAGGTAATTGAGCTTTTTTTTGACGAATTGAACTTTGCTTCTGCCTGGGCCAGCAAAGCCTTTCCCGAAGGAGAGGGCTTTGATGCTAGCTTAGTCGGAGAAGCATGGGCAGATGAGGAAATGGGTGGCATTATTATGGGAGGGTGGATAGATGGATGGATGGATGGATGGATGGATGGATGCAAATAAAGTTTAAAATTTAGCTTGTCTTTATTACATATACAGAAGCTTTAAGATTTACTAATGAGTGATCATTCTTCAAACTTCTAAATTTGGGTGCTGTCCCTTGTCTTTTTAATATTAATGCATTCATGCATTACGTTGGCGAGGGCAATGAAGAAAATTTTATTATTTGTTAGCTTTCTGCTGTTATCGGTGGCTCACGTCTATTCTCGCTCTTTCATCAGGATCGAATCGGTCATCCCCGGCATAGATAAGCAGCCGGTAAATGCGACCCTCATGGATGCAGTTCCAATCATCTCTGCAATTTCATCTTCGTTTTCTGGCATCTCTCAGGTCGATTCCGAGTCGACACTAGACTTTGTAAATGGGCCCGAGAACGAAGATAATAACGATGACGAGCATTCTGACGGAAACGTGGTTGGTGAGCTGATCCCGTTTTCTCCGCTCGATGGCTGCGAGCCATTGGAACAATCGATTTTTACGACGACATCGGCAAATAATAATGTCTCCACTAAAATCCTATTTTCGCCGTCGGAACAGAATTCCAAAATTGTTGTGTTGATGGAGATGAGCGGAAACTGTTCCATTGACCGCAAGTTAATGATGGCGCAGCGCATCCCTTCTGTGGTTGGGATCATCCTAATTGGACCGATATTACCTACGGATCAAGATATCTTGCTCAAGGGCATAAAGTCAAGACTGGTTGTCTTTTCAGTGGCAACGGGAATCGGAGAAACGCTGCTTAGCCTGACCAATTGGTATAGACAGCATAGAATCCTTCCGGTCCCGCCTGGCGGCTTGCCAACGCTAAACAATAGCTCGCCCACCATGACGGCCAGCAACGTTACCTCGTTTGCTGCCGTTTCCGATTCTGCCCCCGTTAACCATTCCCAGGATGATGCTTGGCTGAGGGCAACTCTTGTCACAGGGCTAGATGCAAGTAGAAATTTGGGGGTGCTTGAATTTGCGCTTTTGGTTGTCGTGGTGCTGTTGGCAGTTTCCTTCATCACCTCCATCGTTCTTCATTTTTACTTTTTCCATTCAAGGGGGCACCAGCAAGGCCAAGGTGGAAACACCGAGACCGGGTTCCAGCAACAACAGGTTCTTCCAGAAGCATATTTGCGATATCTTCCCATCCGTGTATACGGAGACTTGGAAAACGTGCAAAGCGGCTTGAGAAAAAGATCTTCCACTCCAGACGATGCAGTGTTTCTGAATACACACAGCGGTGTGGATGATGGCAGTCAATCCAGCGCGCCCATCACGCTGGAGTCGCGCATCCAAAATACCTCGACTACCATTAACATTGTCGATATCAATTCAAACATCGATAATCCGATCGAGAATGGCCAACGCATCAGGTCCACCTCTACTTCACGGTCTGGCACCACGTCTGCAGGCAACAACTCTGCAGCGACTGTGGCCTCGCCCGCACCGTCGGTACGATCTACCTCATCATGGCTTATGAAAACGATAAGGAGCTCACTTTATTACTTTTCTTCTGGAAAACCAACGTCTCCCATATTGTTCAACGACATGTGTCCCATTTGTATTGAAGATTTTTCAATCAAATCAAAAGTAAGGGAATTGCCTTGCCAGCACATCTTCCACCCAGAATGCATCGATGCATGGCTCGTTAATAGAGCATCATCCTGTCCCATGTGCAAATTTGACTGCTATAATTCGCTAAAGCGTGCCTTGGAAGAAAAAGAGCTCAACGACAATACTTGCACAGAGGATCAAAATGTCGAGCGCCGTGTGTCTTTTTTCAAAAGGATCCGATTTGTACTTTCAAAGTGGCTCTCTTCAATGGCGTCTTTATTTAGAAGGGGACGACAAGCAAGCCGATCGCCACCCACTGTGGCACTTGCATAAATAAAATTGCATTTTTATTATTAAATTTTTTCAAAGTGGCCAACCGTTATCAAGTCAAAATCTTTTGCCCTGCTTTGCGTTGCCAAGCCAAAAAGCGGTCTTATGAGGAAAAAGATCACGATCTTTTATATCAGTTTCTGATTGTAAAAAATAGCTCAATCCCCATTTCAGAGCTGAGATCCGCAATCAAAGACCGCTTTTCCTCTTTATACGCCCCAGACAGGTAAGTTTATCTGCTTTATCAGATGTAGGCTTGAACGGTTTTTTCTTAGGACCCCGGATCATTATGACATGTGCGATGAAGATGTGCTATCTGAAGTCCTTGGCGACCAAAGCACAATTCTCGTAATCACCGACCAGACCGACCCGTGTGCGGGACCGGTTTCCAGCAAAAAACAGCGGAACTCGTATTCTTCTGACGAGGCCGAAATAGAAGACTTGATTTCTAAATTTAGCCCAATCCAATCGGACAGCGATGCCCACGACCCATTCCCACACCTTGGCGGTGCATCCGTTAATTTCCATCAAGAGACTGAGGATGAGGAGATTGAGACAATTGTGGCCCCCGCTCTTTCGTCAACAAGCTCCGCAGACATGGAAGACGAGGAGGAGGATGATGATGATCTTGAAGAAGAATCACTCTCCATTACCGAGTCACTGGGCGAAAGCGACGAGGTAGATTCAGCGCCGGATGGTCCTCCTTTGAACATGCCTGCCACAAAAATAGCAGCGACGGCGAATTTCAAGCAACAACACCCGAGTGATGAAGAAAAAAAGCCCAATCTCATCAAACAGACACACACCATTGTGGGCGAGGAAGCTAAAAATAAGGCGGCAGTGGTCCAAAAATATGGACACCCCAATGCCAATCATCACAAAAAGCATTCTGAGAGCGAATCTTCCGAAGATGATACCTCGGACACTGATACTTCCGAAAGCGGATCATCTGATGATCAAATACCGGGTGGAGCGTGTGCGCCAAAGAGCCAAAATAATGTTGCTACCAGGCCCCCAGCTCCAGCAAAAAGTGATTCCGGAGAATCTTCCTCTGAAGAAGAAAGCTCCTCCTCCTCCTCGTCAGAAGATGATGATAAGCGGTTTAAAAACGTCATTTTTTCTCAGCCCTTATCAGCCATTCCACAAAGACTAGAGGATGCTTCAAAAAGAAACCATCTGCCATTAGATTCACGGCCTTTGGCAACCAAACAGGATCTCTCTTTTTCTTCTGACTCTTCATCGGGGCAGGAGGAGGATGGGCATGGAGGAACACCGTCAAAAAGTAGGATCGAAGACTGCTTTAAAAACGTACCTTCTCTCTCATCAATTTTTGTCGAGGATCTCAACAAAAAAAGTGATGAAAAGCTTACACCGCCCATTGCCATTACAAGCCCAAAACTGACCACCTCGCGAGTATTGACCCAATCGGCTGCACCTTCCGCGGCATCAGCATTGCCAAGTGTAGCATCAAATACCCCAGCCATACCGGACGAGTCTGTGGCGGGAAGCAAGGCCAACGCCGCCTCGCGCAATAGACGAGCATCGATTAGAAAAAGGAACTGAATACACTCGCTCCAGCGCTAAAATTAAAGCATTAAATTATTTTATTTTGCTATGCGGAGGCTTTATTTTCCTCTGCAAATCTACGTAGGCCTTCCGACATCAGATATGGACGCGCTTTAGACCCGTCGTTTCTCTCGCAATCTTCAACTACAGAGAGGGTAAGAATAATAATGGGCTTACGAAAACAAATAAACAGCGTATGGATGGCAATATCCATGACGGAGACAAACACGCTTGCAATGATGTAAGCAAGTATCAACACAACCTAACGATAAAAAGTTACAAAGCTTCCATACCAAAGCCGTTCCCACATGGGTGGATTTGAAATAATATTTCACGTCCGCACTGTCAGACACCACGAAAAGCTCTTGTGCTGCATACGAAACAGCGACAAGGGTAATGGAAGACTTTGCTATAAACAATACAAGAAAGGTGATCCATCCCAGCACAAATGATCTAAACGAGTTTCGAGAAAGTAAATTTGCAACAGAATGCACAGAGTCAACATAGGACGAATTATACATGGCCATGTGTATGTAGCCGGCCCGGTTCATATATGCAACGAACTTTTCAATAAAAAATAGGATGAACTGAGTGGCAGAAAGAACGAGGCGAATCAGTCGGTATTCGACACCCTCAAGCTTTTTCTTGATAAATTCGAGCATGTATCTGATTGCTAACAGGAAGGAGATCATGAGAGAGCCCATCACGATGCTTCCAAATGAGTAGTAGAGCGTCCTGATTGTAGATCGAAACAGCAGGGTCACCGAATTGGAAACATGCTTATCCTTGACAGATGCAGGGGTCCAATACCATTCTGCGATCGCTCCACCAATGATGCTATCACAGACGGCATCGATGACATTCCAAACCCAAACCAGTCCAAATAAAAAGTAAATTAGAAAGCAATTTATGAGCCTAAAGAAAAAAATAGTTGGCATACTTGTCCCTGGGTGTCTCAATTGGGCAGACATATAACGCTAAGATTGCAGAAGCCTCGAAAAACACCTGGTCTTTGCAAAAAATCAAAATAGAAACCACGACGATGGCAAGCGAAAACAGCGCCATGATGAGCACATAATTAACAATGGGCACTAAAAATACAAGCTGCACCTTTTGCAGCAAATTCGAGCTCTCGTCAATCAGTTGGATCGACAAATCCATTCTTTTATAGCAAGAAAGCATGAAAAAGCTGATAAACACCAAAAGAATGGAAAAAGAACTCGCAAGGCACAGCAGCAATTTCTCATTTGCGGCAAAGAAATCAATCTGGTAGATAAAAGACAAATCGGTATTGGTGGCCACCTCATAATAGAGGCCCCATGCATATGCGGTTGCTATTTTTGATATCAAAAGAGTGACCCAAATGGTGATCCACACCACCAGCGTTGAAATAAACGGGATGAAAAATAGCCACAAAATGGCAAGAAAAGTGGCGATTCCCAACGAAATCACGATCAAGTCCCAAGAATCCGCAATGGCCTCCGGAAACGACTCCAAGGGTGTTCGATCGCCCAAAAAGCCTTCGACTTCAGCTTTCTTCCAGTTTTTTGAAGACAATGTGGAGCTGGGATCAGATGCAAATAAATCTACAGGAACACATCGGTTAAAAGCTAAAAATTAAAAAACAGCAATACTTGGTTTAGAGGGGTACCCGACAACGCATCTGCTATCGTTATCCAAGTAAGAACAAATGTCGCTCCAATACGTGCTTTTTTCAGGGCATTTTGAAACGCAGATGATCTTGCTTTTCGGGAGATTGTGGCCATCCATAAAAAAGGCATAGGGAAGGCCAGTAAGATCGAGAATTGAGCCGTCAGGCCTTTTATTGACCGTGCCGCAAACATTTCCATCAGAATCGGAACCATATCTAACTCTGTTGATATTTTCCATGGAAACTGTGCACCGCGAAATAAATACCATACCGCCAACATATAGTATAAACAAAAGGGTCCATACAAAGTCTCTGACCTTATATTTTAAATTTGGGTCGAACGGAGCGCGTGATTCACTCTGCATGGAAGAAACTAGTTTCGTCAGTTAGAACACATAATATCCAGGATAAAAATGATTGGCTGATTTACGGGCTAATTAAATTGTCCTCATTTTGGAGCGAAATGTACAGCAACATTTTTAAATGGTGTGACCAGAGGCGGGCTTCATCACATCAATAAGATACACATTCTCCAAATAAATTGGCATGCAAAAATATCCCTTGGTATCCAAGTTACTTGCTCGAAAAATTGCACCAATTTATGGGCGAGATACACCAGAGTAGCTAAAAGGGCAATAATGGGAAAAATTTTGGGCATATTGAAATTTATCACCTGGTTGTTTGTGGTTGACAACCCTAAAAATTTTCCTTTTCATGGTGCATAGTGCTTGTGGATCTACTGAAAAGGTTTACTCTCATTTGGAGATCGAGAAGCACAACCGCATCGATGATCTTTGGGTTATTGTTGATGGGATCGTGTACGATGTTACAACTTTCCACTTGGAGGTAGATCTTGTAGCGCAAATAACCTTTAGCATCCTGGTGGTAAAACAGTAATTCGAGACTATGCAGGCCAAGATGCAACGGAAGCATTTGAGGATATCGGCCACTCGTCAGACGCTCGAGAGCGGCTGAAGAGTTTTGCAATTGGAAGGCTAGAATCAGCAAGCCCAAAGAAACGAAACTTGGGCCTTTATTACGGTCTTTGTGCTGCGGTCTCGATGTTCCTGTTGGCATATGCCACTCACCGGTTTTTAAGGTAGTGATGATCTATAAAATAATAAACCGGTTAACTTTGATGTTTATTCGGGGATTATCTATTATCGGTTAAGATCGGGGATTTACCATGCAAATGTTATTTCCATTCAGTAATACTCTAGAGAGCTTGCACTCGTGTCGACCCTCCTGGTTGGTAAATCTACAAAATTGCAATAAGCCGCCATTGATCTTACATCTCAGTGACATCTTCCAAAACGATGTTGACAAAATCATCAAACCCGCAGAGGACTCCACAAAACTCTCGATCTGCCTTCAGGATAACTTTAATTCTATTTCCAATGGACCTGTCTAGCAGTTCTATCATGTAAACAACAAGTTGACGCCTCCAGGATAGGCATACCTAACGGAAAAAGGGCTTCTGTGGCCATGAGTGAAATTTGAAATTTTTGGCTTTAATTTAAAATGTTGGTCAATTGGCCGAATTTTGGTCAGCAAATGATAATAGCCCCTTAAGGGCGCAAATGGATAGATACAAGCGATCAAGGCCGATTGCTTTTGAAGCGTCTGTGAAGCACTGTTGCTTAATATTGACGATTGACTCAAAATCTTGAATTAGCTCATTTTCATCCCTAACACAGCTTTCGGTTTCTTGGAGATCTTCGTTGATAGTAAGTTCTGGATCATCCTCGAGGGGAGACTCGTTAGCACTGTTGCTTTCATTGGAACCGTCATCGCTCTTGCAATTGGTGATATCCTCCTCAAAGTCATTACTTTCATCACTATCTTCGTCAAAGTCATTACTTTGATCGCTATCCTCCTCAAAGTCATTACTTTGATCGCTATCCTCTTCAGAATCAGATTCAAAATCCAAGGCCCAATTGGGCTCGCATGGCGCTATGTCCTCGTTATCCAGCATAGAAGAGACAGTGGGCGTGGATGCACAAATTTCAAAATTCACAGCCCATTTTAGCTCAACTTGGATGTAGAAAATCGAGTTCTGGATAAAATACGAGGACTTTGACAAAATTATTTCATTGACAAGATCCTTACAAATTGATGGCTCAAACTCGGAAACCCTGCTAAGGATGTCTGGGATGTACATTTCTCTCCTGTTAACGAAACATTCAGCAAGTAAAGACTCAAAAAATAGTTCTCTATTAGCAACGGTGCTTCCAAGAACATCAAATATCTCAAAAGCGCCAGGATCTGATTCGCTTCTTTCCTGCTCATTTGGCATGAGGATATTAGCTGCACAGGCGATTGATTTTTGATAGCTCTCTTTGCAATATTCCATCGCGGTCTCGACCAAAATTTTCTGGTATTTGCGCAAGGGCACAACCCTTTCTTGGTATTCTTGTTTGACAGATGTTTTTGTTCCATCGTGCTCTTCCAGGATATTAGAGATCTCTGATAGATAGCTTGAGATGGCTCTAAAAAGAAGAGAAAGGAGAGAAGAACCGTATATGTGGTAAAAGACCGGAGAATCAATGGGAAGCTGATCCGAAGATGAATGACGCTGCGGGTCATAGGTTCTGAGCATCGAGTCGCAAGTTGATATTACAGCATTTGTGAGAAGAAACCCCTCTTTGTAGTCGGTTTCCTCTTCCATCGACGTATATAGCTGAAGGAGATCCATAAGTTCTAAAAGATGTTCTCTGCATGATCCAGAAATCATGGGGCCATTCACAAATGAACGAGAAATTTGTGTCATTTCAATGCAAAATAAAATGGGCTGAAATTTTATTTAAACCCGTTGAAATTTAAACTTTACACGCCTAGGCACACACAAGTATGCATCACAATATCCCACAAAGGGCATAGCTATGAACAGACACGCTTGAAACTCGAATTTCTGCATGTCAAACAGAACCTACGGGGCGAAATGCTTGATTTCAACGACGAGGTTTTCAGCGGAATCAGCACAATCGAGCATTTTCTGCAAAGACTTCTTTTAACGGCCGGATCTCTACGCGGTAAGAAACTTTCAGTGATTCCTACACTCTCTGGACAATTCTCCTGCATATTTTTTTAAAATTACCGCCAAGCTGTCGAGCAACAACTTGGGTTTTTTCTGATGATGCCAGAAGCGCATTGGCTTGCACCAAAAAAAGAAGTCTTTGTTGAATGTCAGGAGGGGAGCTCATTAAATTTTGCCGTTTTAATGGGCTTTTGAGATTTTAAAAAAATTCAAATTTGTTTGTTGATGATGAGAGCCGTCACATTAGCGAGACCGCGGCTGCACTTGTTTGCATGTCGATGTTCTGGTGCTAAAAGACTTTAATGCTAATCTTCTCTCTGAAAATTTAATAAAACCCTTGCCCCATTTAGTTGCATGTAATGTCTGTGTTGTGTGTGTTCGTCGTCATAGTCATCAACCATAGTGTGTATTTGGGGAATTAGACAAAATGAGAAAATTACATGTGACAATAGCCATTGATGGCCAATTGATTTTACCACATTTTGATCTTTCGAATGCGCCTTGATCGTGTGTACTTTACCCGTTACCGGGTTTCAATTTTAAAGTCCTTTTATGGCACTTTTAAGCTTGGGATTAGAAGAGAGGGAAAGAGTCGCTGGGAGAGAAGGGTTCCAATTGTTCCTGCAGATTTAAGCAGTTTGTTTTCGGAACATTCTGGACTTTCGGTAATAGTCCAGCCATGTACCAAAAGATGCTATCCAAATGGCAGTTATGCGCAGGTACATGGTGTGGTAATCTATTTTTATTTAGGCGGGCGCAGTGATTGGCGAGGACCTGTCGGAGTGTGATTTGGTACTTGGCATTAAAGAAATTCCAACTAGCGAAATCCTTCCAAGGATATCGTATTTATATTTTTCGCATACCCATAAGGGCCAGGCGCATAACATTCCTGTATTGAAGGATATGCTTGCAAAAGTATCCTTTTGAACTTATCGTTTAGAAATCGTCTTTGTTTGATTTGGAGCTTTTGGTGGACGAAAACGGCAAGCGGAAAGTGCAATTCGGGTACTATGCAGGCGTTGCCGGCATCATAAACTCGTTGCATGGGCTCGGCGATCGGCTGCTGGAAATGCTGTTTTCAAATCCATTTACAGTATCGCCTTGTTTCTCAAAATAGTCCCTTCCAATGGCTCAATACATCGACAATGTTTCGTTGGCAAAAATGCTTCTCAAGGAGCATGTTGCAGCGAGAATCCAATCGGAGGGAATTCCTCAACCTTTTTCTCCATTGATTTTTTGTATCACAGGCTCTGGACATGTGTCTAAGGTACTTTCCAATTAACCTAATTCTTTGGGTGTCATGGATATGCTTACGCTACTTCCCCACGAGTTTGTACTTCCAGATGAACTGGAAGAGCTGGTTACCAAAAGAAGTGCAAATGGTTGGGGTTCCAGTTTTCACCTTTAGATCCTTCCACGCAAAAAAAGATTTTTATTTGCAAAATCACGCCAAAAGACTACGTTGCTCACAAAAAAGGTCTTCCCTTTGATAAAGAGGATTATTATGCAAATCCACAAGAATATGAAAACCTTTTTCCAGCACAGGTACTGCTTTTAGATCTTTTCCCCGCAGATTCTGCCCTGGATTTCTGTTTTTGTCAATGGAATTTACTGGGATCAGCGATTTCCTAGATTTATTACACAAAAATCTCTTTCTTCATTAGAAAGTGAAGGCAGATTGCGTCTACTTTCGATCTCTGACATTACGTGCGACATAGGAGTATGTCGTCAATTGTCTTATTCCAGGGCTCAGTTGAGATAGTAACAAAGGCCACCACCATTGACGCACCGTTTTTTGATGTGGCCATTGGACCAAGGCGAAAAATCCAGATTATGTCAATTGATAATCTGCCATGCCAATTTCCAAAGGATTCTTCAAGCTATTTTTCAGGGCTGCTCAAAGGCATCGTTTCCGAATACATTCAAAATGGCGCATCCGCTTCTGGCGTTCCAAAGTTGAATTTGTTGCATCTTTCTTTAGGGTTTTCCAAAGGGCTCAAATTACAACGCCACAAGGGAAATTCGCAGGAAATTTTTCGCATTTGTCTCCCTTGCTACCTTCGCATGCGATCAAAAGTGAAGGATACGTTAGACGTATTTTACTGCTTGGAAATGGCCTTGTTGCGATGCCCGTAATCGACTACTTTGAACGAAGCTCCGCAAAATTGCCATTGGGATCCAAAATCAAAATGACTGCCGTAGGGCTGACTCCAACCCTTTCCCCATCAACGTCAAACGCATCTGGGCCATCTTGCTCGGTTGATTATAATGGTAGCGAGTCCAAATTCTCGTTCTCATATTTACAGTGTGATCTTTTGAATAACGAGGATCTGTTAAAAAGCCTTGTCTCGTCTCACGATATCGTCATTAGGTAGGGTTAAGTCCTATATCTATTGATAGTCTGCTACCTGCCTCAATGCATTGGAGAATTGCAGCGCTTGCGATTGCCACGAAAAAGCCTATGGTTACCTCTTCATATATCTGCGACAAGTTGAAGGGCATGAAGCAACGGTATATGCAAATTTTAAATCTAGGGCCGAGGAAGCTGGGATTCTCATCCTTGGGGAGATGGGACTCGATCCCGGGCTTGATCACCTTACCGCTTCCAAGATGATTGACGAAATTGGGCCATCAAACATAACTTCTTTTCAATCATGGTGCGGGGGTCTTCCTGCTCCAGAGTGCACGGGAATTGGAAATCCGCTAAAATACAAATTCTCGTGGTCACCAAAAGGCGCATTTTTAGCACTCAATAATAAGTGCAGATTTCTTCTTGATGGGAAGGTTGTAGAGATCGATAAGGGGGGAGCCTCTCTTGACCATGCCTTTAGTTTTAGCGATTTCAATTTGAGCAGACACAAAAACATATTGACGCCATCGCTATTTCCTGGTTTTTGTTTGGAGGGATTGGCAAATAGGGACTCGTTGGCATATCTTGCCGCATACAATCTGGAAAACTGTAGGAACAAGCCATTCATCTAACACCAATATAGGCGATGGCTTGAAAACTTTCATACGAGGAACTCTGAGGTATTCCGGCTTTGCAAAAATATTGGCTGAAATCAGAAATATCGGGCTGCTCAACTCGGAGGATACAAAAATCTTTACTGATGCGCTTAAATGGGTACAAGTCAAACTTTAACGCCTTAGGCGGACGCAATGAAACTTTTGTCGGTCAACACGGCGTCTCTTGACGCCGAAAATCTATTGGCTCTGCAGTGGTAAGTTAGGTGGATTCTAATTTAGGCTGGGGATTTTCTCGCAATTCGAGCCCTTTTATGGGAAAAAATACGCCTCATGGATAGATGCTCTTAGCGATCTAATGATCAGAAAGCTTTCGTATGAAAATGGAGAGCGAGACCTGGTATTGTTAGAGCACCGCTTGGAGGCCCAGAGGGACGGAAGGCTCG